TTCGGGGACGAGATGGAGGTTACGGGGGGGGGGAAAAGTAGAAAATGCAGACTGCAAAAAATAGCATTTTTCTGTATCCCATGTTGTTGCCGTGTCTTTTTTGGGGAGAGATGGAGGTTATTTTGGAGAAAACGGAAAACACGGACTGAAAAAAAGAGCGCACGTTTCTCCACATTCCGTGTTGTTGCCATGGCATTTCCGAGAGGGATGAAGGTTATGCCACGAAAACGAAAAATATGGAAGGCAATTAAAAGAAAAAAAAGCATTTTTCTGCGTCCCAGGTTGCTGCCATCCCGTTTCGGGGTGAGGTGGCATTTATTTGGGGGAAATAAAACCAAAACCAGCAAAAGCAGATACACCGATACGCCTCACCATCCCCTACGCACGGCATGGTGGGACGTCGGCGATGGGCCAGCACTGCTTGACGCTGGCCCCAACACCCACCACCGCCCGGCTGTGAGCCCACCCCGTCGCGGCCACACGGTGCGGCTGACCATCGCCAAAATCACGGGTCAGCTGCGCGGTGAAGGGGACACGGACGTCCAACCGGCGTCCCTCCAGGGCCACCGTGCACGCCGTCCGGGGCTGCACCTCCTCCTCCACCACGTGGGTATGGACAACGTACTTGCTGGCGCTGGCTCCCCCCACCCAGGGGATGTCGGTGACGTTGGTGACCTCCCAGCCCATCCCATTGAAGGCCAAGAGGGCGGCTCGCAACACCCCACGGATGGTGGTGAAGACCCTCTCGTCCATCTCCCAGTCGTGCTCCATCTCGGTGGCCTCCTCCAAAGTGACAGCTTTACGCACCCCTCGGCAGCCCTCATTCCTCACCGTGGTCTTCGTCAGGGTGACGTCCTCCCCATGCTCCACCGCCCCGCTCATGTTGTAGCGGACATCAGAGATGGTGACGTCTGCCGGGCCCTTCTTGACCACCAAGACTTGGTACCACTTGTACCAAACCTCCGTACCATCCACCATCATGAAGGCAGCCCTCTGCTCTTTGGAGACCTTGCCCAAGCCGTAGTGGTTCCTCCCAACGAAGACATCAACGGACGGGCAGCCCTCCACGGCGTCTTTGGGCACGCTGCCGAAGAAGTCATCCACCCAATCCAGCACCTCAAAGCCTCCCACGTTGACCAGCACCTTGAAGTCGCGGGTGCTCCGCTCCCATTCTCCATATGGGAAGAAGCAGAAGGGACCTCGCTCGGGGGTGTAGGCGCCGGTGTTGCAGCCACGCACCTCCGTTGAGCAGACATACTCCATCCTCTTGGCATAGCCGTTCCAGTTGGAGACGGCATCGGCGGGCAGCTTGCCTTCAAAAGCCACCCACTTCAGGTATGAAGGTGGCTCCTCGTCTCGCTTCCTCCGGGGAAAGCTCCAGCTGGCGGCTGTGGGGAGGAAATGGGGGATTTGGGGGAAATGAGATGCCCCCAGCCTACCCCAGCGGCTCGAAGCTGCCAGAGCAACGTCTTGCAGAGACCCTCCTCGTTGGGGAAGCTGCCGGGGGGCAACGCCCCGCGCTTGCCCCAGCACGGCTGGCCAAGAAAACGGTAAGTAAGACATCTCAACCAACCCTTCTTACACGTTGGGGGGCAAAGTGGGGGGCAATCCTGCTAAAAATCAGAAGAGCCGAGACCTTCATGCGTTGGAGGACAGGGGGAGGGATGAGACCATGTCCGGGGTTTACACGGCAAGGTTTTGGGTAGGGGGGGGGGCTGCAGCAGTGACCCCTGTGACAAGAGGCAGGGGGCTGCCCCACGTTGGACACAGCTGGGTCCAGTTGGCTTCAAAATGGACACACCGCTGGCCAAAGCTGAGCCCACCAGCGATACTGGCGGTACGTCTATGATAACGTTATTTCAGAAAGGCTAAAAACCAACGGTGAGAGAGAGGAGTGAGAAAATGGGAGAGAAACAACCCTGCAGACACCAAGGTTGGCGAAGAAGGAGGGCAAGGAGCTGCTCCAGGTGCCGGAGAAGAGGTTCCCCTACAGCCCGTGGAGAGCCCACGCTGGAGCAGGTTGAACCTGAAGGTCTGCAGCCCATGGAGAGCCCACGCTGGTGCAGGTTCTTCCTGAAGGACCGCAGCCCGTGGAGAGGAGCAGGTTCTTCCTGAAGGTCTGCAGCCCAGGGGAAGGACCCACGTTGAAGCAATTCATGAAGGACCGAATCCCGTCGGTGTTATGAACCGGCCACAGCCCCCATTCCCCTACACCACTCAGGGTGGGGAGAAGAAGGTAGGAGAGTCAGGAGTGAAGCTGAGGTTGGGAAGAAGCTGGGGGAGAAGGTGTTTCTAGTTTTGTCTCTCACCATCCTACTCTATCTTTAATTACCAATAAATTAAATTAATCTCCTCCAAGTCGAGTCTGTTTTGCCCACGACGGTAACGGGTGCGTGACCTCCCCGACTT